GTTATGAGTAACAGTGAACACGTCTAAGTGATAGTCTGTTCGTAAACTCGGTTCGAAAAGGGAGATATTGTGAAAAGATCCTTGAGGAAGAACTCGATTACTTGTGTTAATATTGTGTTTAAGTTTATAAACGCCTGTGTATATACCCTTTTGACTCATTGTGATCGAGTCAAGAAAATCTGTTTCCTTTTGTGAATATTTAACAAGTTATCTGGATAGCATTTTAATATTAAAGAATAATTATATCTACTCATGACAGTTATGGTATAAGTAGTCTTGCTTATCGCATAAGAAATAATGGAAACATTATGTGATTATTAATAATATTAATAAAACCAGCTGAACTATAAATTCTTTTACCTTCATAAGTAGTCCGAGTGATTGATATCCTCTAAACAAGTTAAACCTGTCATTTTTGGTGTATTTATGAGAAACACTACAGCAGGAAGGTAATCCAGCAAAATCACTAATTTGGCACCCTACAGGTTCCGGTGATGCCGGGTTAGTGATGGTCAACCTGTATCTACAGTAGGCATCATAAATATGCAGGTGCATAAGTATGCCCATAGCAAGCTATTTACAGTTTAAAGATGTGCCAGGGCAATTTTTGCATCCAAAATAGTGTTCTTGCCATATTGCAAAAGATGTAAACAAACTTAAATCAGATAAGAGAATATGTGGAACCTTATGAAGCATAAGCTCTGTGACATGGACATGTCCCCTACCACTGAACCCTCAAGGTGTGGAAGGATACTGATTCTTTTGTCTTCCATACTTGTCTTATCAGTGACTAGGAGACATAACAAGTGCATCAATAGGAATGGTAATCCTATGAAATTTGTACAAAGTTAATTAAGTAACCCATACATGTCCTTCTCTAACCCATCCCTTCTCATCACATTAGTTCCACTACTACTACTGCCACTACTACCTCTACCCATGCTACACTCCATCTAACTCCTCCCGCTATATATCCCTTCAGTGGGCAAGGCAGTCTAAAGTGTGAATTTGAAAGTGATTTCCTATGAGAGGATAGAGCCACTCGATGTAAGGTCACTGAGACCATCCAAACGGAGTTGTGAAAGTAACATCTCGCGCAATTGCAGATATTCGAAGACCGAGTATATTCGGTCCTGCCCGTTTGGGGTATACCATTTTTGAATGTTGCAATGTTGCAATTGTAAAAAAACAAATAAATATTTTTTAAATTTATTATACAAGTAGACAATATAAAAAACATAAATGGAACTTGTTTCTGAACAATTTGTAAGCAGTAAAAAAATAGAAATAGGAACTACTTATCAACAATGACACATTGCAATGGGATGCAACTTACAAATGAAATATTCCTGAGTTCCCTGAGAAAGAACAATCATTTCACATCACTAATTTCACAAATGAAACTTTATGAAACAATTTCTATCCTTCTTTATGCACAGATTTACTTTACATATGGCACAGCAAAATGAGGATGTGACATGATTATTCTTTTTGCTGCAAAACTTGCATGAAAGCAGCTTACCTAGCACTGGCCAGTGACCTAGCTGTTTATCCAACCTCACACTGTCATCTGGCCTTTCTGCACGTTGGTACTGAAATGCAGATGGGTATTCCACGTTTGACAAATCGTCATTACTGTCAACCAAAGAAGTACTGGGTGAATCTCGACTTCGTCTCATGATGGTGCAGTTGACCTTTTGTCCTTTGGATCTTGCAGTGACAGAGATCTCAAGCCTGAATAGCTTCAGTGGTGTGCATGGCATGTTTGACCTACAATCACGACAGTAAAGAAGCCATGCATTCACAACAGCAACATCCAGAACATAAGCAAAGAGCCGCATGTACCAACGCTTTGATTTCATTGGTGTTTTGTAAAGATGGACCAACATGTTACTTTCGTCGATACCTCCCATGTTTGCGTTGTAGTTCTTGATGATGCCTGGGCACTCAAAGTGGTCTTTCTTCTTTGATGCCTTGTCATATCTTTCAATAAGACTCAAAGGATAAACTCCGACATCATTTGTGACTAGAGTCACAACTTTGTTGTCCTTCCATCTTACAAGAAGGATATCATCATTGCTTTGGAAATCAAAATTGCCCCTGGCCACATTACTCTTTTGCATTTCTTTCACAGGCATCAGTTTGGCTACACATCTATTATCACGTATTGTTCCAGTGTTCCTGCAGTTATACTTGTCTCTCGTACCTTGACAAAGGTAGACTTGAAAAGAAATTATCAGCATAGACTGCTGATGTTTTTCTTTGGTCGAGAGATGCTGCAAGTACAAGAACAATCCTGGAACTCATTGGGAGCTCACTTTCTTCATTTGGCAGCTTTATGTGATGGTTCTCAAAAGTTGGGTTACCTTGATACATCAGTATATCATGTATGATTCCATCTTCACTGGCACGACAGAAGAGTTTGAAACCCCACTTGTCTGGTTTGTTTTTGATGTATTGCCTTAGGTTTCCAGCTGTTTTACCCTTGAAAGCAACCATAACTTCATCAACAGACTGCTTGGGTGTAGCTGGAACTTTCAAGCAAGCTTTAGTTAGTGCATTGTAAAGAGGCCTTATTTTGTAGAATCTGTCATTATCCTTCTTTTGTGTGTTATCATTGAAATGAATGGTATGCCTCAGCAACCTAAACCTCTTTGATCTCATGACTTCTGCAACTTGAGTTATCCTACTTGCACTTCTCCAATAGTCCTCAATGAATGGCTGTACAGTGTAACCCATATGCAACAGATACCTATGAACCTAGTTATTTCCTCAGAATCTGTTTGAAAAGTAGTATGTATGTCTTTTTGCCTGGCATACAAATTAGTTTGAAATGTAATGTTGTCTGTCATGTTTTGAGTAAAAAAGTCTGTAAAATAATCATATGCACACCTAACTTCAACAGGCTTTATATGTTGATATTTAGGCAAAGGGTCAGTCTGGATGTCCTCATTCTTCCATTGGGTGTCTCCTTGAGAAGCAAGATCATCTTAAAGCACTTCTTCATCAGGGTATTCCTCCACAGTAATACGTTTCTTCCTCTTGTTCAATTTTTGCTTTTTTGGTGGTGGCCCAGCTTCCTCCTCCTCATCTGTTGACACCTCTGCATCTGGTGGCAAGTATTCATCCTCACTATCCAGCAAATCCAGGTCATCTGGGTCTTGATCTGAGTCACTATCGTCCCAAACACAGACAAATTTCGACTTATCCTCGGAGGACTCACCGTAGAATAATTTCTTATTGATCTGGAAGGACAATAGAAACATTCTGTACACACCCAGACCATTACTGAATTCATATATACACTACCAAATTTTATGGAAATATTTATATACCGAAACTTGAAAACTGCACCTAAAAGGGCAGGAACGACTGTACTTGGTCTTATTTTGTTGCACTTTTTTCATTTGCATGGTGCACTTGTAATATGCCTCACAACGCCTTCATATATATATATATATCAAAATATGGCTAAACTATTCATTTATGCACTAGACACACAAATCAGTACTTACCGACATTGTATTGGGTGAAATACTTCAGTATATAAGGAGCACTCAACTGAGAAACACGAGTTTTGGCGCCGGCAAGGTAGAAGTGTTTACATTCTGCTCTCTCGACCAATGGGAAGCGGGCAGCCGCCATCACCGCTCAGCCAGGGTGACTCAGTTAAGGTCTGTGATTGGTCAGAAATAGAGAACAGGAACCTAGATGCGCTGGGGGAGTCGGAGGACGTGCGTAAAAAACCACATTTTGAGGACCAAGTATACTCGGTCCTGCCCGGTGTATTAGGACTGAATAAGCCACTCGTGGAGCAGCGTTTCTTTTAATGTTCTAACTGTACATAACTGTCTTTTCCCACATATTGTTGGAATCACCATACCATTTTTTTCATAGACATGTTTGAGTGACAGTGAAAATTAAATACATACACCAGTGTTTACTGGTGTATGTTTACCAACAATACCTGCTACCTAGAAATAATTTACATATTTCTAAACAGTATATGACCAAGGCAGGTGAACATGTTCACTCGTCAGTGTGTGACTTTGATTACTATTTCTGTACCTAATATTAGTGTCAGAACAAATATTGGCTATAAACATCAGAACATAAAAATAATGTAAAATAAAAAATAAAGAAAGAAAAAAAAGAATATCAGCAACATTTCTGCAACTCCACGTTGCCGTCACATAAGCATCTACTGCTAACTTCACCACCTAATATCTCGGTAAGTAATGGCCCAATTTTTTCTTTTTCAACACATCAGCCGTCTCCCACTGAGGCACGGTGACCCAAAAAGAAAGAAACCCTAAAAGAAAAAAACTTTCATAATTCAACACTTTCACCATCACTCATACATAATCACTCTTTGCAGAGGCGCTCAGATATGACAGTTTACACGTCCTTCCAAACTACCAATATCCTAAACCCCTCCTTTAAAGTGCAGGCATTGTACTTCGGCTAACTGGTTTCCCTGAATCCCCTCACAAAATATAACCCTGCTAACACTCCAACAGCTCATTAGGTCCCCAAAACCATTCACTCCTAGGTTAACCTAGGTTCTCTACACATATGCTGCTATGTATGATAATTCTATGTAACTGTATTTGTGTATACCTGAATAAACTTACTTATGCATGCTTGCTGGAAGTCCAAGCCCTCTGCCCACGAATCCTCCTTTACCCCCTCCCTCCATCCTTTTTGGGGACGACCCCTACCCCTCCTTCCTTCACAAACATATTTATACGCTCTGTCATTATACTTTTTTTTGTCTTATTGAGCACAAATTGCCCTCCTTCTTTTCAGCACTAGCAGTGAAAACAGATCAACGTTTGGACAATTAAAGGTTAAGCATTTAAATAAACATACATTTACTAAACTTATACAAATTAATTAGAAAATTTCATTTTTTCTGCAAAATCCTAGATATATTACCGTACATTAAAATAATAAATAAAGCATTCTGATTAAAGCCATACCACTTATATCAATCTTACCCATAAAAGAAATCTTGAATAGTTTGAAGTCTTCTATATTTTGGGAATTTGAAGTAGCGATACAACCGCAATGAAAACTTTAGCTCAGCCGACAGCTGAAAGATAAATGAAGTTAACAATGTTGTAATAAAAAAGGTGGCATAGGAAAAATTGTAAAAACATCACTTAAATAACTCCTTATCCAAAGCATGCAAATTATAAGCTACATTAATTTACTTAATACTCCTCAAGCAACACAGCATTTTTACATATCAAAGAGGTACGAATTTCTAAACATTTCTCAATATTTAAGAAGCCATCAAAATTCATGCAACTGACAAAAATCGAGAACCACATATGCCAGCATATGAAAGTCCTGGACAACATGTGGATAACAGGAGTACAACTGCACTCCTCCACCCACGACACCTGTAACATAAAACAAATAACTACAATTCTGCACACTGTCATTTATGGTAAACTATGGTAAAATAAGATTTAGGTATTGTTGACAAGGTAGCTCATGGATGACTGATGGTAACAGATCTTAAGTTTATGATTACACTTTCATCTTCAGATTAAATAAGAGATAACATTACCCTTTCACTGTCAGTCCCATAATATTACAGCTTGAGAGCCAGTGTCGGTCCCTTAACACTACACCAAAATTCTAGCAGCTTCAAATTTAGGGGGAGAAAGCTGGTAGGCCTGCATGTCAGAGAATGGGTTTGCGTGGTCACTGTGCGCAGTATGAAAAAAATCGGGGCACCCACATTGCATTGTGAGTGTGCTAATTCAGTACGCCTTGGTCACCAAGCGTAGTGGTAAGGAATATTTCACTCTCCGGCGAAGTTGGACTCATCCCTTCTTAAGTGATAGTTCTAACACAGACTGAAGTGTCAGTGAAGATGAATCTGATGGTTTTGAGGAGTTTGTGATAAAGCAATGCCCAGGTTACCAGAAATAGTGCTGAAAAAATAGACGATTATCAGCATTCCACCTCCCACCAAAAAAGTGACTTATTTCCATGTGGGTGGTGGGGAAGACAGCATAGATGGTGGGAAAGACAGTGTGGGTGTCGGGGAAGGCAGCGTGGGTTCGTGTAAACATAGCAACATAACGAAAATGATAATGGTTTATTTCCTTGTAACGGTTTCAATGTGTAATTACAGTTTTGGTTTGCTAAGTACAAAGAAAGCCATTATCATGCCGGGGCATTTTGTGCAGACTAATCCTTATAGTAAATACATAAATCTAAGACAAGAATTTGAGTTAACTGTATTACAATCTTATTTAATCTTAATACTAATGTGAGGTAGTCAAGGTGGAGGTTTATAAAAATAATCTTAAAGTTGTACATAAAAACAATATTACAAATAATGGTTCAGGCAGTAATATTTCATGAAATGGCAGAAGTTTAAGTCTTGAGGTCATATAATATAATTAATTAGCAGTTGCTTTGGTTAGTATTGAGAGATGATTTTTTAGCAAAGTCTTAAATTTACAAGTAGTCAAGAGATCCTTTACCGGTTCCGGTTGTGAGTTCCAGATCTTCTGGCATTTTATGTGCATAGCGTTTTTGCATAGTGTGAGACTGACACGAGGGATGTTGAAGTGTCATATGCCTTGTATTGTGACTGTGCATTCTGTTGTAACTGTCAAGTAGTAGTTTAAGTGAAGGGTTTATAGTGGAATTTTATGTTCTGCATATGTAGTAGCCACAATAATGTGAGTGTATGTCTCGTATATTTAGCTAGGTTATGCTTTTGAAAAGTGGTGGGGTGTGCTGTCTAGCACAGGAGCGGGTAATCATCCACACAGCAGCTTTTTATTGGGTTATTAAAGGTTTAATTAAGGTGGTTGGCTGTGGTTGATCCCTAGGCACAAATACCATAGGCGAGGTAAGGGGAAAAAATTTTAAAGAGTGGAATAGGGGTAAGGAATTTTTTGGGGTACTAGTTTTTGTACCCTTGGGAAAAGGAAATGTGGGGGAAATTTTTTTTGGGGGCCCCCTAAAGCCCCCACAGGACAAACCGCCATGGCCGTACGGGATGGCTGAGCGGGATGGCCCCCTTACTAACCCCACCCAAACTTTTGAAAGCATTCTCTTTGTCGGCAAATTTGGGATTTTTGGGGTGGCATGTATTTAAATTTTTTATAGTTTTAAATTATTCGGGAAAGGAAGTGGGGTATTTTTTAACTTTTTAGTTTTTTAAATTTTTAGGTTTCCCTAAGGAAACCCTTTAGAAAAATAATAATGTAAAACCAAGCCCTTTTAAACAAAGGGTTAGTAATAGCCGTTTAATGTACAAACAATAGTAAAAAGTTAGCTGGGGGAGAACTTGGCCCAAACCCCTTTAGTTTTAAAAATGGGGGAGAGGGGCCCAAAAATGGGGGGGGGGGGGGGGGGGGGGGACCAATAGCGTCCTTCTTAAAAAGAAACCAACGGGGAAAACCATGCCGTGATCAGCAGCCCCGGGCGCCCCCCACTGTCTTCACATTTTAAAAGGGGGAAATTCGGGTTTAGAAGGCACCTCGTTTTGTCCCCGAAAAAGGGACCTCCCCCCGTCCGGGCCCCAATACATTTAAGACAAACCTCCCCCTTTTTACCCTTTTTTGGGTTTTCCCGGGCCCCAGTGTTTTGGGGGAAAATTGGGTGATGAGTTTACGGGGGCCCCGGGTTGCAACAGGCGGTGAAAGGCCCATTTAGTACCATTGGCCCCCAGACCCGCCCTTGGAAGCTACTGTCTGGTCTCCCATATTTTTATATTTGGGGTTTTCATACCCTTTCTTGGATAAAAAAAATTTTCCTGAGGTGCAGGCGGACACAAAATTACAATTGAATATTGCGGGAAATTTAAATTGCCCCCGGGGTTGCACGGGTTTGTCTGGGGGGGGGAAGTCCAAAAAGGGGCCCAAAGGGCAAAGGGCTTAGGGAAGTGAAGATCAGGTTTATGCTGCAACACCAAGTAAGTTATCCTTTAAAAAGGCATGCAGGCGGGGTTTTCTTGTAACATAAATCTTTTGGAAATTTTTCCCCAAAAAACCATTTGGGAGGCGGGGGTTTACCGACCTCGAGTCTTTGGGTTGGTCAACAGGTTTGGGGGGTTTGGCAAACTCACTTGGAGGAAAAAGAAAAAAACCACAAAAATTTTCAAAAAAATTTTGGTTTCCCTCGAAAACGGTGATGTGGAATACTTTTTTTAAAGAAAATCAAACCCTGGGCTACAGTTGGGGAAAACCAGTTTAACAGGGGTTAGGTTAAGGCTATCAAAATGGGCCCAAACCATTTTGGGGAACCGGGGTTTTAACGGGGGTTGGGGTTTAAGCTTATCTTATCTAGGTACAGTTGGGGAACCAGTTTAAAAAGTTGGGTTTTAATTTTGCACCCCCAAGGCCCAAATTACACAGAGGTTGGCCCCAAACGGGAATTACAAAAGAATTGTTTTTTTTCCCAAGTAATTTCCCGGGGCGGGCCCAAGGGGGGTTAGAAAAGGGCTTGTGAATTTAATTTTTTACAGGGGATTAAAAGGGAATTTCCCCAAGAGTAGGAGACTTGGGGTTTTAAATTTTCTTACAGTGGTTTTGAAGGTTTAAGCCACATTTTAGGTTTGGCTTGTGCAATATTTAAAAAAATTTAAAATTAGTAAGGCCAGATTTAAACCTTTATTATTTACAGGGATTTTTAAAAAGCCGGGGGATTAAGCCTACAAAACCTAGTTTAGGTTAGGATTTCCCCTTAAAACCCAAACCACCCACGTAGAAAGAGTAACTGGGCCATTTTTGGGCCCAAGCTGTTTCCAATACATAATTCTTTTATGTTCACAAGTTAAATTTGGGTTGAATTTTTAACTTGTGTTAAACCAAGTGATTTTAATTTTTTTAAAATGAACTTTTATTGGTAATTTTCTTTTGTCTTTGTTTCCCATTTTAATGGGGGTTTTTGGGGAATTAAACCTGAGACTAGGTTAATTTTAAATTTTTTGGGCTGGCATTGGTACATTAAGTGCTTGGTTTTAAGTTTTCCCACCGTTTACACATTTTGTTTGGGGGTTTTAGAGTAAAAAGTGTCATTTTTAAATTCAGAGTATGGTCAATAAAAAAAAGGGGAAAGTTGTAAAGTTTGGGTTGAGAAGTTTTAAAGACTCTTTCTTTTTCTCACCTAATACCTTTTTGCTGGGGGGTTTGGGGGCTAATTGAAATTTAAAAAATTATTACCGTAAATCTTAACTAAACCCCCAATTGGGTTTGGGTGAAAAAAATTTGAAATGAAACCAGTTTTTGTCCCAGCTCTAAGTAAATTTTAAAGCGGCCCTTATGGGAGCCAAAAAGGGGGGCGCCTGAAAAAGAAAGGAGGGAGTGCGTGGGTCGGAAAGACCCCAGACTGACTGGGGGAACTTAAAATTTTGCCTAAAACCTTTGGACAAAGACTGGGGGCCCTTTTTGAGAGATAAATTTTTATCCTTTATGGGGACAGGGGCCTATACTAAAAGGTTTGAGTCGAATAACTTTTTCGAAGAAACCCACGGAGGGAAACTATGGGGAAAAACGAAAGGGCAAGTGTAAAGCAGAGATGAGACTTTTAAGGATTTAAATTAAAGACTTTGAAGGCCGATACGGGCCAGGGGCAGCGAATGTTTCAAGGAAAAACGAACAACAGCACCCTTTTAAAATTTTTCCCAGATTGCCCCAGTTAAATTTTACCACGTTTGAGGGAAACCCTTAAACAAAATTTCATTGCTTTCGGGATCAGTTTAAACCCCCGAAGATGACAGATGTGATTTGTCAGATGCCGCCCAATTTTACAAAATTTTTTTACGTTCAAAGCTAAAGGGGTTTAAAGCCAGGACTTGGTCCGGCATTACCAAAACCGACAAAAAATCCCAACATCCCCAAAGCCCAAATTAAAAAGGACCCCCTTTTGGCAACACTTGGGGGATAAAGGTAGCTAAAACTTTATCGGTTTTTTTGGATTTTAAGGGGGGCTTGCCCGCCATGACTTTCAGAGCCTGGGAAATTTTCCGAACCCAAAAGGTTATGAGTTTACAAAAAATAGCCCCTTTAAAGATTTACATGTTTGGGGGGTAAGTCAGAATGGTTCTTTCAGTAAGGTGAT